CTATATATATTTTCTTATTAAATATAGTAAATGTGTGCTTGGATTTTTTTTAAAGGATGTAGAAGCATTAATGGACAAACATAGTATCTTAGAAAAAGGATTTCTAAAAGAAAAAGAGCAAGAAGCCATTTCATTTCAAGATAGATACAAAGAACTTCAGGTAAGCCTAGTGAAATTAAAACTTTAAAAGTACACCTTTTTTTATTAGAAGTTTAGTGTAATTTCAGAAGTCCTCAGTCCCCTTTCTTTGCTTTGCTTTCCCCATAACATCCATTTCCACTTGGTATTTAATATGATCTGCTAATTATCTTTCTGCCTTGCTGTCCATACACATGATTTTGGATCCATTAGACTAGGAACTATACTTCTCCTGACCTAGAGAGTAGTACCTGGCTTATAATAAGTATTCATTCAGTGAGTATAATTGAGTGACTTACTAAATGAATATATACACTAGTTATGTTGTGTGTTTGTCAACATTATCGTAAATTTCGGATTATGATGCTTGTTTAAAGATAAAACAATGTAGGCAGGACTGAGTATGTGAGATAAATTAGGTTTTTGTTGTGTTGAATGATTTATTTTGGGTCCTTTGATGAAACATTTGCTTTTGCAAATTCACTTTTTTCACATGTTGATGGGAACATACCTGAGGGACCATAAAGCATCTAACATAATAGTACTCTAAATATTTTATAGTTACATTATCATTATTTTCTTTCTGTTTTATTAATATTAATATCAATAGTGTAAGGGTGATGACTCATTTCTTTTATATTTGTATGTTTTTGTTGATTGCCGTCCAGTTGAGCATGACTCATAACAACTCTATGAACAAAAGTCCTAATGTCTTTTCATAACTATCATCATTTCTTCCAAGTTCATAGTTTCCAGAGGCATGTGGTTTAGGAAGTGGATGCCACTCCTGTTTCCAAACCTGTTTTACACATAAGAGCTCCACCAAACACTGTCCACAATGGGAAACCATTATGATACTTGATACCCTAATGGCATCATAGCAAACCCAGGTTATTTCATACCGCACATTGACTAAGAGTGATGTGCAAAATGGAGAGTGTTTATCCAGATATAATAGCACTAGTCTCATTTTGCAGTGGTTAAGTATCGTCCAGTCGAATACAATTCAGAGTAAGCTTTGCACATAAAGACCTAAACTCTGTTCTGTAACTAACATCATTTCTGTAGGTTTATAGAGTTTAGAGTTTGTGGAATTTCCATAGGCATCTAGTTTAAGAAGTGGATCCTATTCCTGCTTCCCAGCATGAATCAATCTGGAAGCTCATCTAATCACTGTACATAATGCGCAACCATTATGGTATTTGACAGGACTTTGGAACAGTGTATACATACAGAATTTTCATATACATTGTATTTAATTCATTTACATTGTGTTTCATACATTCCTTCATTCACAGTGTATTTCATATGATCATTCCTATACACTGTGTTTTATAAAATTAATCACCATGGATCTGTGCCCACTATCACCTCATCTTTTCAGGTCCCTACTGGATTTATTCTAATTCCTTCATCTTCTCCCTCTGATCACTAAACCTGAGCCCCGTGATCTCCCCCCTGCTCCTCTTCAGTCTCTCTATCTCCCTCTACTTCCACTTTTGGACTTGAAACTATGAATTTTGATAAATGTCGGTAGTTGTAGAGGGGCTTTTGTTCATAGGGTCGCTATGAGTTGTGCTTGACACAAAGGCAATCAACAACAACAACCACCTACTAGTTATCCTTTTATTTTTACAATATTGGTCTTATTCAGTATTTATTCTTATGAGATTAGTTAGTTCACGTAGCATAATGCTCTGTAGCCTTTTCCATATTATATACTATTTTATGAAATTGCTGCTCCTGAACACTGCTTAGTATTCCATTATGTGAACGTACTGCAATTTCTCAATCTATCTGTTTGTTGATGGACATTTGGGCTCTTTTCCTATACTTAATATTGTGAAAAGCACTGCTGTGAACATGGGTATACTATCTCCATTTATGTCTCCATTCTAATTTCTTTGGAATATATTCAAGGCTGAACAAATAGGTGGGTCATACGGCATTTCTCTGTTCAGCTTTTTGAGGAAACACCAAACTGCCAACCAGAGAAGTTGTACTATTTTACAATCCCACCAACAGTGCATGAGAGTTCCAATCTCTCTATATCCTCTCCAACATTTATTGCTTGTCATCTTGTTAAACTTTGGAACTGCTACTGGGGTGAGCTCTCTCATTGCCAGTTATTTTGAGCATTTCTTCATGTGTCTGTTGGCCATCTGAATGTCTTCCTCTGTGAAATATCTTTCCATGTCTTTTGTCTATTTTGTAGTTGGGTTATCATCAGGCTTTTCCTTTTGGAGGCCTGCAGGATTCTGTAAATTTTCATTATGAGACCCTCTTCTCTGGTATGTCCTTGCCAAATCTTTTTTCCCAGTCAGTAGGTTTTCTTTTCACCTTACTGTAAAATTTTTTTTGATGCACAAAGAGATTTAATATTTAGAAGATCCCATTTGTTTATTATTGTCATGACAGGAGTCCAGAACGAAGGCTACATAGTAGAGTGGACTTGGGGGGAGGGATTGTATAACAATGAAAGAATTTTTCTTTTACGTTTCAAAGAGAAGAGTAAACTAGGGGGTGAGGGGGGCCAGATTGGGCAGGGAGAAAAGTGCAACAATGAATGAATGGAAATCCAAAGTCTCTGTAAACTTTCATTAAAATTAATAAAAAAAGACAACAAAAACAAACAAACAAAAAAAGATCCCATTTGTCAGTGTTGTCCTCTTTTGGTTGTGAATTTCTGGCTGTATTTCCAGCCTATTTATACCTTAGGGATCTCTGATGGCCTAGTGGTAAGAGCTGTGACCATTCTAAGTTTGGTCCCATTTTATTTCTTATAATCTGTATAGTTTCAGGCTTTACCCATAGGTCTCTAATCCACATTCAGTTAACTTTTATATGTGGTGTGAGATGTGGATCTTGCTTCAGTTTTCTTCAGGTTGAAGTACTGTTTTGACAAGCACCATTTGTTGAAGAGGTTTGTCCTTTCCCCATTTGGTAGGTTTTATTTCTTTAATACCAACTGTCCATAGGTAAATGAGTTAATTTCCAAGTTCTCTGTTTTGCTGCCTTGGTCTATTTGCTTTTCATTATACCAGGACCATGCTGTTAGGGTTATGACAGCTGTGTAATAAGATCTGTGCTTCCCATTTCATTTTTGTTTTCAGAAGTGTTTTGCTTATTTCGGGTTTCTTTCTTTCCAGCTAACCTTTCCACTTGCCTTTCTTTCTCTTTGAAAAAATGAACTTAGTATCTTTATTGGGATTGCATTTAGCATATAGATTGCTTTTGGTAGGATTTTCATTTTCACTATAGGCAGCCACATATTGAAGTGGTGGTTGTTCTTGGTAGGTGGTGTTGAATTGAGTACAATTCATAGTGACCCTATGAACAAAAGATGTGAACTCTGTTCTGTCCTGTGCCATCCTCACACTTTCTGACACACAAAGGCCCACTGTGGCAGGCACTGTGGCAGTCTACTTGGTTGAAGGTCTTTCTCTCCTTCGTTGACCCTCTACCATTCCCAGCATCATGTACCTCTCAAAGAATAGCTCCTCATAGCAAAATACTCAAAGTATGTTAGGTAAAGCCTCATCATTCTTACCTCCAAAGAGCACTCTGGCTGCACCCTCTTCAAGAAAGAACTTTTTTCTTTTGGCCATCCATCGGATATTCAGCACACTTCTCCAACACCACAATTCAGTACAGGGATTGTAGTCAGTATCACAAACAAAACGTGTATTCATTTTCTCTGTAAACTTTCACCCAAACTACAAGAAAGGCATACATCTATATCTTGACATTTAATTTTTAAAGTAATCTACCATCATTTTGGCCAATATTGGAATTTAAAATGAGAGTATTTAATGAAGGGAATGTCTAAGACCTTTAAATTAGCTCTTTTCTCTCCCTCCACCTCCAGGACTATGTTGAGCACCATTGAACAGAAAATCTAGCTGTGTTGTTTTTGTGATAATGGCTTAATTACCAGGATAGGTGGGGTGGTGTGAATGTTACCATAACAGAGGAAATAATGAGCACTGTAAACTCTTCTATACAAATGAGGGTGTGCACTACCTCTCCTTTTCCTGTTCTGTTCAGGGTGGGGGTGTGTTACCTAAGCATAGGAAGAAGAATGAGTCATACTACATTTGTCAGAGGTAGCTATTTATAGGACTTTTATGATACTGGACTAGAGAACTCATTTTAGTACAACCTGGACGCTAAACCTTTTTGTCTTTTTTGACTCCCATAGTAGCACCTGTGACCAACATCAGATAAGGAAATTTGGCATTTTATCAGATCATTCATACTGTTCTGATACCACATTTAAAAAAAATTAATATCAACAGACTTGATTGGTTGTTGACATGGATGGCAGTTGTCAGGATTGTAGCTATGGCTTGCATTGAGACATTCCTGGGTAAAATAATTATCTGCATAAGACTTTTAAAGACTAGATTTGTTCTTCTAAGAAAATTTTCTACTAGATTCTGGTCTGATAATTTCATTAAAACAATGAGAATATACTGTTATGTGAAAATACAGAGTTTTAGAGAATCTTAAACTTTACCCACAAATGGAATTTTATGACTTCTGATAAAAATATATGTTCTAGTATCAGTATCACAAGTATTTAATAGAAATCATGGTTAGTATTTTAAAATGGGAAAAAGGTTAGTGGATATTTGACACCTTGACCAATTCCTGTTATAATTGTCCTTTATAATGTTTGTTTAAGAGTAAATAAGAATTTAGTAAACCTGAATATTTAAATTAGAGGTCTGATGCGGCTTACATAAACATTTAAAAAAAAAAGAAGCTCCAAACTCACTGCCTTCAGTTTGATTTTGACCTATTGTGACTCTTTTTTCTTGTTATCTTTGTGTGCCATAAAGTTGACTATTATTCATAGTGACCCATGGGCAACTTATCAAAAGCTTGTCCTATGCTGTGCTGTTCTCATGAACTCTGATATATTTGAGTCCATTAGTCACTGTGTTTATCTCACTGAGGGTCTTCCTCTCTTAACTGACCCTCCACTTTCCACGCATGATGTTCTTCTCCAAGGACTGG